CGATAATTATGTTTAAACCCGGTTTCTAGTAAAAAACTCATATTTTTTGGTAAAAATTTAAATACGTAAAGTGCTTTATTACTCTGTAAATGCAAGCGGAAAAAGTTTTTGTTACGAATTTTTAACTCTTGTTTTTCAAAATTGATAAAAATTGACGATTTTCTTGCTAAATTAAATCGGTGTCTGGCTCAGACGTCACTTAAAGTGATCGAAAGAGTTTCAGCAAAATATTTTAAATTTTTAAAAAGAGCTGAATTGCTGAAAATTGTCTGAAATGGAATAATGCTCTCAAAATAACCATTTTCTGTCCAATTTTGCTGGCACAAAAACGAGCGTAATTACTAAAAATTGGCTGCAATTGCATAATTCCGACCTAAAATGACGATTTTCAGGCTAAAACCTCTTGAGTTGATTGAGTTTATGGCTGAAAAACAAGCAAAATCGCTCGAAATTGTCTGAAAAACTGCAAGTTTTTTTAAACTTTTGTTGAAATTAAATGAGATTAGTTCAGATAATAGGAAATCATAGTTTTTTGAAAAAATCTAACTTAACTAGGTTAGATAGGCCCAAAAATCACCTATTTATGTAAAAAATTATTATTTTTGGTATTTTTGTTAAAAAAAAAATTTGGTAAGAAATTGTCTGAAATGGAATAATGCTCTCAAAATAACGATTTTCTGGCCAAATTTGCTGGCTCAAAAACGAGCGTAATTGCTGAAAATTGGCTGCAATTGCGTAAAACGACGATTTTCAGGCCAAAACCGCTTGAGTTAATTAAGTTGATGGTTGAAGAAGAAGTAAAATCGCTTAAAATTGTCTGAAAAACTGCAAAATTAGTGGCCGAAATTAAATGAAATTAATCCAAATAGCCAGAAATGAAATACAAATTACGACATTTTTTATGTTTTTTTGGAATTGGCTGAAATAGAGCAAAAACGACGGATTTTTGGCAATAGGAAATAGGAATTACAATTTGTCACTTCTTATTGAGGTTTTGTTTTTAAAGCAGCTTTGAGCCTCTCAAGCCTTCGTTTCTACTTTTATCGAACAATTTCAAACTATACAAAATTGCCCAATTTTCCCATCCCATTACAAGGCTTTTCACGTTTCAGGAATGTCAGAATCGCCCGTTATTATTACCATTATTACATGCAGCGTCTTATTATCTGTCAGATATCTCCTCGTAAACTTCGAGTTTATCCCAGCATGAAATTTAATTACATTATAATATAGATGGGTGATAATTTTCCTCTTAAATAGTTCGTTGCAAGAAATTTCCTAGAAAGAAATAATAAAAAACATGAAGTTTTCTTACCGTCCATCCACCATCGGCGATTTCTTGTTCACAATACACCTTCAAGAACCAATAAGTGGTACCACGGATTTGCAAGTAGTAAACGCCGGAATCACGCATGCCAGCATTGAGGAGGTCCACGCAAGAGTAACCCTAGAAATAGAGGGTGATTTGAATTAAATGTCTGTAATTTTAGCAAAAAGTGAGTTAAGTGCTTTGCGAAAGTATGAAATTATAATGTTGTAAAAAAGCGATGACATAAACAATAAAAAATTTACATTTTGTACTGAAATTAAAAAAAAAACAAATTAGAAAGGTGAACCATTCTGAAACAATGAGATGGTCTTGAAAATTGTAAAAATAGCAATAAGTGGGCTATGATTTATAAATGTGATAAATTTTATTGGCGTCATTTGGTAATGATAGTCCTATAATAATAGTATTTAACCTTTAATAATTTCAAGCCCACATTGTATTATTTTCATTGAAACTACATAAAAAATGACCTTAGTTTATTTATTATTTTTACTTGAAAAATTCCATTAAATTGTTTTCTGTTTGAAAAACAAACTAAGATTTTCGAATTAGCTGAAACAATATAATTCAGACCCTAGTTTTGCAAATATCTCCTGAAATAAGTACCTTTTCTGTTCACTATACGAATTCACGAGTAATTCACCTAATTCAGCGATATTTGGGTTTATTTTGCTAAAATTTTCGAGCTGAATTACTTGTAAATACCTGAAATAGCGTAAAATTCAAACTTAAAATGCCGATTTGCTATCTGTTTTGACAAAATCTCTCAAAACGAGTAAGTTTTTGTCTGAAAAACAAACTAAGATTTTCGAATTGCGTGAAATCATGTAATTCAGACCCAATTTCACAATATTTCAGCTAGCGTTGTAAATATCTCCTAAAATAATAAGTAACTTAACTTTTTGCCCACGATTTTTTAAACTGTTTCAACAAAAAATTTCAATTATATAAGAAGTGAATTTTTAGCTCAAAAACAAGCTAAATTAGCTGAAATAGTTCAAACCTAAAATTACAATTTTCTAACCGGATTTAGAAAATTTCTTAAAATAGATCCGTTTAGTCCAAAAATCAGCTAAATCACTACAAAAATTGGCTAGTAGTTCATCTAATTTAGCGATATTTGGGTTTATTTTGATAAAAATTTTCAAAATAAATGCATTTCTGGATCAAAAACGAGCTCAATTACTTGGAAATGGTTGAAATATCTAAAATATTCGGACCTAWAACGTCGATTTTTTAGTCTGTTTTGACAAAATCTTTTAAAATAAGTAAGTTTTTGGCTGAAAAACAAATTGAGTTGGTTAAAATAATGTAATTCAGGCCCAATTTGACAATATTTCAGCTAGCTTTGCAAATATCTCCTGAAAAAAGTACCTTTTCTCACTGAATTCAGAAAAAAATTCTTTAAGTAGATACGTTTGGTTCAAATCACTACAAAAATTGGCTAGTTTATCTAATTTAGCGATATTTGTGTTTATTTTAATAAAATTAAAAAAAAATTAATTTTGGGATCAAAAACGAGCTCAATTACTTAGAAATGGCTGAAATATCGTAATAGTTAGACCTAAAACGTCGATTTTTTTTGTCTGTTTTGACAAAATCTCTTAAAATAAATACGTTTTTGGTGAAAAACACACTGAATTGGTTAAAATAAGGTAATTTATGCCTAATTCGACAATATTTCAGCTAGCTTTTTAAATATCTTCTGAAATAACTACCTGAGTTTTTGCTCCCGATTTTTTAAACTGTTTCAGCAAAAAAATTTAAAATATGAAGTGACTTTTCAGCTCAAAAACAAGGTTAAATGCTTAAAATTAAATCAGCTTCAGATTAAATCTAGTAAAGTAAGCAAGTTCGGTCTAAAAACTAGTTCAATCATTACGAATTGACTTAAATATTTAGTATTTACTATTTAGTGATATTTGGGTTTGTTATGACAAGATTTTCCAAAATAAGTGAATTTCTGGATCAGAAACGAGCTGAATTATTTGGAAATGCCTGAAATATTCAGACTTAAACGTCAATTTTCTAGCCTGTTTTGACAAAATCTTTTTTTTTTTTTGGCATAAAAGCAAACTAAATTTCTTGAAATAAATCTGTTTTTGGTCCACGATTTTCTTGAAATGCTTTAAATTGGCTGAAATAATTTAAAATAACAATAAAAAACAAAATTTTGAAAAAAATAATTGAAAATACAGATTTGAAATACAGGGCGTTTTAACAAAGTGTTTCTCAGGTCTAGTCCCTTTTTTGAGTCTAATTTTTATATTATTATTTGTCAGTTTTTTTTCGTTTAATTAAGAATTTATTTAGTATTTTGTATTTCACCTAATTCAGTGATATTTGGGTATGTTACGACAAAATTTCCCAAAAACGAGCTGAATTACCTGGAAATGCCTGAAATATTCAGACTTACACGTAAATTTTTTAGCCTGCTTTGACAAAATCTCTTAAAATAAGTAAATTTTTGGCTTAAAAACAAACTAAATTTCTTGAAATAAATCTGTTTTTAGCCCACGATTTTCTTAAAAGCGAGCTGAAATGCTGTAAATTGGCTGAAATAACGGATTTCAGAATGTGTTTTTCCCATTTAAAATAACAATAGAAAACAAAATTTTGAAAAAAATAATAGAAAATACTGAAATACAGGGTGTTTCAACAAAGTGTTCTTCAGGTCTAGTTCATTTTTTTGAGCCTAATTTTTATATCATTATTTGTCAGTATTCTTTCGTTTAATTAAGAATTTACTTAGTATTTCACCTAATTCAGTGATATTTGGGTATGTTATGACAAGATTTTCCAAAATAAGTGAATTTTTGGATCAAAAACGAGCTGAATTACTTGAAAATGCATGAAATATTCAAACTTAAAACGTCAATTTTCTWGCCTGTTTTGACAAAACATCTTCAAATAAGTACGTTTTTGGCTTAAAGCAAACTAAATTTCTTGAAATAAATCAGTTTTTAGCCACGATTTTCATAAAAACGAGCTGAAATACTTTAAATTGGCTGAAATAGCGGAATTCAGACCGTGTTTTTCCCATTTAAAATAACACTAGAAAACAAAATTTTGAAAAAAATAATAGAAAATACTGATTTGAAATACAATCTAATGTCTAGTGTCAAAATTAGCCCATTTTTTGAGTCTATTTGTTATATTATTATTTGTCAGTTTTCTTTCATTTAATTAAGAATTTTCTTCAACTTGTAATATTTTTGTAATTATTAATTTTTTTTGTGTCAGTTTCCTCTTAATCGGTGACCTATTAAAAAACCAATAACCGGCATCTGATAAATCACGCTTTTAATTTTCGCTCAAGTCCACTTATCTCGCAAAAAGCCAACCAGTCCTCTCTCGAAAGTAAACTCAATCGATCGCAATGTATCTTTTAATTAAAGCACGTATTTTTGCGTTTTGACTTTCACGTCAACGCGAGAAATTTATTTGGAATTGCGCAATTGAGGACCAATTTATTCTAATAAATTTTGCGCGAAAATGTGCATGACCTTTACAATGGAAATTGATAATTGGTGTCGGAGATAAATCATCGAGAAATTGATCGGAAATTGACATTTAACGTCGTAAATTTTCAGTGTGATAAATCTCGTCTAGAATAGGAAAAAATAAATTTGGCTGGGATGTAGGCGTGAAACGCAAAAAATTGACAGTAATTGATTTTAAAACCCGAATTAATTAAGCAAACGAAAATCTCCCAAACCGATCAAAACTTATAATTATAGAAACAAGTTAATTTAATTGTGATTGATTCGGTGATACACTTGTAGTAAAACTGGTTATAAATGAAAGTTAATTAGTAAAGCGATCTGTTAGGCAGTGACTTTACTTAATTAGAATTATAATTAGTTTTTTCCGAAAGATGTGTACGATTTTTTTCAACTTTTGCAGCAAAATTATTCAAAAAGTTTGTCTAGACTTCTCACTGACATAATAACTTTCATTAATAAGGAATCTTACTTCTGTCCCACATCTCGGTAGATTTACAGCTCATAAAATAATTATGTCTGTGTTTTTATATAATTAAATCCGTTGGAAATGTCCGTTTCGTTGACAAATGTCGTGACAGCTCCGACGCTACTTAAGAAATTTAATAAATTATTGAACCTGTTTCGCCTAGTTTACCCGTGTTATGTCACATATTAATAATTATCTCATATTTTTACGGTCATAATATCGCGAATCGAGTTCAAGCGGAAAAAATAAAACAGGGCAATTTACAAYCCACAAATTCGGAATAACATGCATCAAACTCATCGGATTTAATGAAGCTGACATCACAATTGTGCCAACATTTGTTTAAATTTTCTTATTTGGTTTTAAAATAAATAAACTAAAGTGTTAATTCAAAGAAACTCAAACGCACCCTTGTTCAATTTGTTTAAAAAACAAATCCAAAAATAAAATTATAGATTTTTGTGTAAATATTTATTGAAAGTAAAAAAAACAAAAACAATTAAGAACATTTCATAAATTTAGCAAAAACAGAAAAATTTGCATATCACAAAAATCTAATATGGAAACAAATAACAAAAACATAGACTTTTTGGACTTTTTTGGTACTTTATTTTTTCGAAATTAAAATGGTTCTTTATTCCCTTGATATATAAATWACTATTAAAAAATATATAAAACTATTAAAAATTATTAAATGTTCCAGAGAATCGATTAGTGTCAGGAAAACCGCAAAATCTTAATTGTTTAGAAGTTGTAGTAAAATATAAATTTTGTTTAGTTTAACAATTTTCTCAGTAAATATTTATTGTAGAAAAATAATCTTTATTTTTAAAAGATAGGAAATTGAATGTGCTTTCCAACAATAACAAACACAAAGGGCTATTAATAAACTTTGACAAAAATCAAAAAATTGAAAACTTTGATCGATCCAGATGCATTATAAAATGCGAGAAATAAAAGCAAAATACCATGTAAGGTAAGATATCAGACACATGGAAAAAAGGTTAAAAAATTTCTATCTATATAAATTTCGAAGTTATGCGAGTTTATTTTGGACTTTGACTATTGATTTCTGTTGAAAAAAAAATAATTTTCCAAGTTTTTTTGCTACAGGTTACTATTAAGCATTATTATTAAGCAAAATCTCCTAAAATAGTGATGTTTTGAGTAGAAAATATAGCCCGATTTTGCAAAAATGAGGTTCAAAGTTTCAAACTTTTTATCTAAAAAAAAAGTTATGTTTAASAAGCTTGAAAAAAAGCAAGCTAAAATAATGTAATTTCCGGTGATTCTTTGGTGAATTTGTGACAAAATTTTGCAAAACAAGTTTATACAAAACCAATCACTTAAACAAAATGAGAAAAAGTGGAGAAAAAATTTTATAAAGAAAATAATAATCAATAATAAAAAATACGCAAAATAGTTAAAAAAAGAAGTAATTTTTTTGAGAAAAATATAGACCGTTTTCGCGATACGTGGTTCAACGTTTTGTCAACAATTTATAATTTTTGATAAATATGATGTTTTTTACAAAGAAGTTTTTGAAAAAAATCGTAAATTTTTTGTTAGTACATTTTTGTTATTTTTGACCCAAATAACATAATTAAAAGTGCTTAAATGATTATAAAATCTAAAAATAACACAATTGGTGACTTTTATTTACAGGCTATTAAAAGAGGAAACAAGGAAGCTGTATCCTAAATTGTAACTCTGTTTAATGTTATTTGTGACTTTCATAGTCAAAATTTTTATACTTTTAGTAAATAATTATAAAAAGCAATACAAGATGATAATAACATAATTTCATTATAGACATAAAAAAATGTCAAATGTCAAAAAATAAATGTCAAGATAGAGTTTTTTAAACATTTTTCCATGTTCCTGGTATTTTATATT